GCAGCATGTTGATGATGTACGTGATGCTATGCTGATGCTGGTGGTGGTGGGGGGACGATGACGATGATGACGATGATGACGGTGATGATCTTCATCGCGGCGACGTGCCGGATCGCGTCGCGGTACATGCTCTCGGCGCCTCCGACTCCGCCACGAGGGTGTGTGTGTGTGTTTGTGCTGTCGGTGGAGAGGTGTATGCTACGAGTGGAGGGGCGCAGGCGCTCACGAGCAGCGTCGATGCACCTGCGAGGGAAGGATCGGGGGAAGATATCCCGGGTAATCTCCCTCGCTGATTGCAAGAGTGCTCTCTCTGATTGCAGCACTCGCCGGGCCATCAAGAGCGCTCTCTCTGCTCGAGAGCGTCTTCGGAAGAGAAAGGGGGGCTCGGGGGGAAGGGGGGTCAAGAGGGCCGCACCTACTCACAGCGGACGCAGCTTGAGGCCCAGCACGCAAGAGGCCGCGGCGATCCCCTTCGCCCACGTTGTTTTGGATCTGCGAGCGCGCGGGCGACGGCTCGCGAGCGTCAGAGCCAAAATGGGATGCGCATGGTGCGGGCTCGTGCGGGGCAAGGGTGGAGAAGGGGCCGCAGTGGGCGCGTCTCGCGGCTCCACGATGGCAACGGCCGCAGCTGCGAGCGGAGCCGGTGCGAGGCTAGGAGGCGCAGCGCGGGGGGCCAGCGAGCGCGTCGTATGGCGGGAGCGGTGCGGGAGCGGCGGGTTTCGCGAGCAGCAGGCGTCGCGGGGGTACTGGGCGTGCAGCTCGCGGCGCCCATTGGTGGCGTGGTGCGGCGGGGCGAGCGCGAGAGGGAGCGGAAGGTGCTGAAAAACCTTCAGCACAGAGGTTCCTGCCCAGAGTATATCGCATTCCCACCCAGTGTGTGTGTGCTGTGAAAGCGCCGTCGCAACTGCCATGTCGGCAGGTTGTAGATCTAGGCTGGTGCTCTCGCCCCGCTGGCGGCGCGGACCGGTGCCGCGGCTCCGAGCCCTCCTGTGGGCCCGCGGCGGCTCGATTGATTTTGGTACTACCAGTATTTGGGGGGACATTCTGAGAGAGAGAGAGAGAGAGAGAGAGAGAGAGAGAGAGAGAGAGAGAGAGAGAGAGAGAGAGAGAGAGAGAGAGAGAAGTTTTGTCTTGAAAATTCTCCATAAACTGTCATGTGAGAGTGTTAGAGTTGTTTTTTGACTTGTTTGGTATTGAGCAAGAGCGCAGGCGGTCTGTGTGAGTGAGTATTCTTGATACGAAACCACGACGACACACACCAATCGACTCGTATCGGTTGCCTCCATGAACGGCGGAGCTATTCTCGCGCCCACACCACACCTGCTCCAACGTGGGCACGCCCATAGCTGGGGACACTACTAGGTCACGCATGGCATCAGAAGTTTTATCTCTGGGCCCCGAAAGGCATCTCTAGCAGCGTCGTTGCGCATGCGTCCTCCTGGGCGCATGCGCCTCACATCTCGCCTGAGCATAAGCTCTCGGTGTACACACACACACACACACACACACACACACACACGCAGGCCACACACACACACACACACACACGCAGGCGGTCCGTCACAAATTCAGAAACGTCCGCAGCTCCCGGCGATCTCGCGCCGACGGCCGATAACGGACCTTAGCCGCCTCTAACCTCTCTTTATGGTATTGCATAAAAATCTCAACAAAACAAACAAAATCTCTCTCTCTCCAAACGGGAAACGGCGCGAGAGTTGTGATTCGTGTTGGGTTTCACAAGTCTTAAAAATCTCTCCTATCAAGCATCTCTCACTCACATGCTATCGCCCACCCCCATGGAGGATCTCCCCAGTGAGTGACACACACGAGGATCTCCCCAGTCCCACCTGAAAAACAAGTGAAAAGAACGACTTCGCGCTTCGGCGCCTGAAAAAGTGCTTGACCGTCGAACTCACAGGTTTTGCACCCGCCGCCCCCTCTCCCCGCGATGCGGCGCGTGTTGGCCTTTGCGCGAGCGTGTGCGAGCGTGCCCGGCCACTTCGCCCCCCATCCCGTGCGCTGGAGCGAGACGTGACAGTCATCACCTCGGAGAACGCCGTCGCGCGCCGCAACGCGGCTTCGCCCGCCCGCTCGCGCCGGCCCTCCCGCCGCGCGAGCCGCTCCCCCGCCCGCGTGTGAGTGTCTAATCGACTTGGGTGAGCGCGGCTGGTAGGAACCGTGAGTCTACCCCCTCGTTCCCGGCGGTCTCCGCGGCCTCTTCTCGCGCCAATCGCCGCCGATAAAAGACATGTGCCGCGTGCTCGTTCGCAGCCTCTGGTTTTGGGGCGTCCTTCTACGCCCCACCCGCGCCCTGGCGGCTGGCTGTCGTGCATGCAGAGGAGGACGAGCAGGTGGAGATCATGATGATGGATCCGGTCACGAGCGGCCGGTTCACCGACCAGGACCAGCAGCTGCCTCAGGGGCAGGGCGGCGCTCGTTCGGCGAGTGCGTACTCCAGATCTACAATCACACTCAAACACCCGAGGAACGTTCCTCGGGTTACCCGAGGCGGGGTCATGACGCCGGCGTTCCTCGTGACGGCCCCTTCAAGTACAACTTCCGGAACTGGACGCCCAAGCCCGTGCAAAAAGACGAGCTCTTCTCTGTCGTGCAGACTAATCCTCCGCCGTGTTCACTGGCAGCGCACTGCGATTGGGTTGTCGGCTCGCGCTATGAGCATTGGGGACGACTGCCCGGCTTCACCGTCTGGGGCGACCCGTACACCGTGCCTGGAACCATATTCGTGAACACGGACGAGCTTGAGACCTTCTCAGAGTCGCTGCTGCATTGCATCCCGCGGCGCCATGGCGTGGTGCTCATCACGGGCGACCACGACAAGACGACGCCGTTGCAGACGGACGTTCGTTACCCGCGCGTGCTCAGGTCGAGCACCTGGGCGAACTGGCTCAAAGATGAGCGCATTTTGCACATTTACGTCGAGCATCTCGATGCTGCAGTGGCGAGCAGCAAGGTCAGTCCCATCCCGACCGGGATGAATCCTCGCGATGCTGGGGGCATGTCACTGGCGTCCGCGCCGCGAAAAGTGCGAATCCAATCACTGCCGCTCCGGGTGGTGGAAATCGGGCGGCAGCGAGGCGGGCGGCAGTTCCACGAACGACAGTTTGTCAGAGACTTGTGCAACAGTTGGCGTTGGTGCGACGTGGCCAACACGACTAACGAGGGCTTCAGTGCAGTTGTGCAAAAGTATCCATTCCTGCTCTGCGTTCATGGTGGCGGGATCGACCCAAATCCCAAGCTCTTCTCAGCCATCCTTTCCGGCGCCATCCCGATCATGCGCGATTTTCCGGGTGCCACCATGTACGACGGCTGGCCAGTGGTGCGCGTGAGCAACTGGACCGACATCAACACAAGCATGCTCGCACAGTGGCGCAAGCTCCACGCGCCCGCGTTCGAGGACGAGTGGTTGCGCAATCAGACCCTCGAACGGCTCACGATGCGTCACTGGTGGTCCAAGATTCACCCACCCCCCGGACCTCGACGCCACCAATCGATTTGAGCCGGCCAAGGCGGCCGCGATGCTAATTCCTATGTACTGTACTGTAACGCGATACTGTATAGCTGTACGGGAGTTTTCCTAACATCGGATTTTGAACTATCCCTACTACATGATTTGACATGGTTCATGGTAGCTTTTAGCACATGCATGGGTTCATAATTGGGTGTGGATGCTGGGTTGAACAAAATCGAGGGACGCGACCCACTTCGCCACAGACGGTCCCGCGCCTCGCCGCTATGACAGTGGCACGGCCGCAGCTCGTGTGCGTGCCACTGTCTTTGTCCGGAGTGAATACTCCAACGCGCTCGTCGGTGACGGTATCCCTCAACCTGCGCCGCGCTCGCTCGGCGAACCTCGACAGCGCCTTCGGTGGCATGCAGCTCTTTGCGACAGAAGCCTGGAGAGCAGCTCCTCTGCTGCTCACACACTCTGCACAGCTGACACAGCCTACTGTGCGGCTGCCACAGCTGTGACAGCGATGGGCTCGCCCTCACTGGCCCTCAGTCACTTGTGCTGCGGCTTGTGTGAGCGACACTGCTCGGCGACTGCCTGCACACTGTGAAAAAACTGTTCAGTTTTCAAAGGCAAAACATGACGCTCTGCGGTTGGTGCACCCCTCACACTGACACATTCCCCTCATCCCTTGCCCTTGGCTGAGCACATCTACCTGCGAGCTAGTCTCTCCGCATTCTCTCCCTTAGTCATCCGCCCGCGCCGCGCGCCATCTAATGGGCGTCTAGTGCAGCCACTGACGGCACTATTCCAAAAGAGCGGTCGATGCCTCGCCTAGAGTTCGGGTGGACTTGCGCACTGCTTAGCCCTGAGAGGGGGGAGTGTGTGTGAGGTGGTGTAATGTTGTCCCGTTTCAGGCGGCAGGTCAGGGGATTAGCCGGGAGGATTCGGCAGCTCAGCCGGGGGCTGAGCGTCTGCAGGCAGCCTTCCGCCCGCGCCGAAATTCACAGCCCTCCCGGGCCGACGGGGTGCTCCTTGGATCGGGCCCCGCTCCCCGCTTTTCCTGTACCTGGACTGTCCGGGTCAGGAGGGTGAGAGTATTGGAAAGGCGAGTGCAGTACATCTGGCGGGTGGCAATTGAGGGATAGCAGATGAGTCGATTGGGGGGTCAATTGGCGCGCGGGCGGCGCTTCGTGGTCCTGGGCGAGCAGGGGAAGTGATTAGGAGTCTTGAGCCTGGAGATATGAGGGTTGTCGAGATGTCATGCGAGAGCGGTAGGTGGGCGAAGGTAGCGCTGCTGGAGAGTGGTGTCCGAGGGACAATGATGAGTTGTCAGTTGGGGCGCGAGATGCGCGGGATTCATTTTCATACTATATAGGGTGCTGATTTGTGAGCTGAGCAATGCCTGCAGGGCTTGCGGCGGGGTGGGCGGCTTTTGGTCGAGTGGTCTGGGGTTCGAGCCCGGCCGGGCGAGTAGCGCGGAGCGCTCGCGGCGCAACGCGCGCGTGCGTGGGAACTATCCCCCTTTCGGATGGTGCGGGACCAGACCAGACGGCGGACGGTGGGGGAGCTGCGTCTACTGCATCGCTCCGCCAAATTCGCCGCCGTCGCTGCCACCCCCGCCGCCCTCCTTGCCTCCGCCATTAGGGCCGCTGCCAGCTTTGCCTCCGACCCCTCCCGCCCTCCCGATCTGCGGCACGCTGCCCACCTCAAGCGGCCCCGGCAGCGCGGCCATCGCGAGCGATGCGGGCACGTACCAAAACTTCCACGACTTCCTCAACGGCGTCTGGGCGTGTGACTCGTGCAGCTCCGAGACGGCCAGCATCATGCGGCTGCCGACGCTGCAGAAGGTGACCGGTTGGCGCCGCTCCGACTGCAGCGCTTCCAACGGCGATCAGCGCTCGCAGCGGTTCCGCCTGGAGGGCTCGCTTTACTCAAACTCGGGGTTCACCACGATCTGCAGCGCGGACAAGATGAACGACCACACCGCGTACGCGTCGTGCACGGGCGCCGAGGTGCAGTACGTGCGGCTGGTCAAGGTTGCCGGCGGCAGTGGGCCATGGAACTGCCCGATCGAGCTCGAGGGGTGCTACACGCAATCGCCGCCGGCACCACCGTCGACGCCATCGCCGCCAACGCCGCCGGCGGAACCACTATCGTTTGGAGTCGAGGTGAGCCTTTTGCTAGAGACACAAGACCTCCCAGTCAGCGACGTTGTGATCGAGACGATCCAGCTCGACACGGCGGACGTCGCGGGCATGTCGGTGGGCGACTTCACCGCCACGGCGCTCGCCTCCGCCGGCGTCGACGACGCCACCTTCGAGCTCACCCAGACGGACGACGTCCTCGTCACCGCCGGGGTTGGGGAGGTGGCGTCGGCCGAGGCGCTGCTCGCGGACGTGCAGGCGCTGCTCGGCGACGCGGAGGGAGCGGTCAGCGTCGCGGGCCTTGAGGAGCTGTTTGTCGACCCGGACGAGGGCGGCGCTGGCGGCCAGGCCGCGCCGTACGAGCAGTCCCCGCAGTGCCCGCTCACCTTCGCGCCCGCCAACGCGTCCCTCGACCACGACGACCACCAGCCGGCCAGCCGCCGCCGGCTGCGGCACCAGCACTTTTGCCGGTCGGGCGCGTGGCAGGTCAGCTCGCCGTATGGCTCAGAGACGGTGGCGGACCCGTGCCGCAACGCCTTCCTCGTCCGCGTCGTGCGCACCCTCTGCCACGCCCGCCTGGCCAACGGGAAGTGGGACGAGAGGTGCCGCTCGCGCAAGCTCGGCCCCGGCCGCCGCCTGAGCGAGGTGGACACCTCGGGCGGCCTGCAGCCCATCGATGTCGCCGCGCTGCCGGGCGTGGCGGCGGAGGTGATGTGCTCGCGCCTCGAGGTGCATCTGACGACGGTGGCGGAGGAGGAGGGTGGCGGCGGGGGGAAGGAAGGTGAGGGCGGCGGAGATGGCGCGCTGGTCGACCCCCTCGCCGGGACGGGCGAGCGGCTCGCGGGCGCCTTGCTGCAGGCCAACCTCACGATCCGCATCGAGTCGAGCACAGGCCCCACCACGCTCCAGCTCGACACGGCGGACGTCGCGGGCATGTCGGTGGGCGACTTCACCGCCACGGCGCTCGCCTCCGCCGGCGTCGACGACGCCACCTTCGAGCTCACCCAGACGGACGACGTCCTCGTCACCGCCGGGGTTGGGGAGGTGGCGTCGGCCGAGGCGCTGCTCGCGGACGTGCAGGCGCTGCTCGGCGACGCGGAGGGAGTGGTCAGCGTCGCGGGCCTCGAGGAGCTGTTTGTCGACCCGGACGAGGGCGGCGCTGGCGGCCAGGCCGCGCCGTACGAGCAGTCCCCGCAGTGCCCGCTCACCTTCGCGCCCGCCAACGCGTCCCTCGACCACGACGACCACCAGCCGGGGGCAACCAAAACGGGCCGCCGCCGGCTGCGGCACCAGCACTTTTGCCGGTCGGGCGCGTGGCAGGTCAGCTCGCCGTATGGCTCAGAGACCCCGGTCGGGCGGGACCCGTGCCGCATAACCGCACTTCCTTCTGTTGCCACCCGAGGCCCCCGGGTCGTGGCCCAGGCCCAAATGCCCCCCCCCTCTGCCACGCCCGCCTGGCCAACGGGAAGTGGGACGAGAGGTGCCGCTCGCGCAAGCTCGGCCCCGGCCGCCGCCTGAGCGAGGTGGACACCTCGGGCGGCCTGCAGCCCATCGATGTCGCCGCGCTGCCGGGCGTGGCGGCGGAGGTGATGTGCTCGCGCCTCGAGGTGCATCTGACGACGGTGGCGGAGGAGGAGGGTGGCGGCGGGGGGAAGGAAGGTGAGGGCGGCGGAGATGGCGCGCTGGTCGACCCCCTCGCCGGGACGGGCGAGCGGCTCGCGGGCGCCTTGCTGCAGGCCAACCTCACGATCCGCATCGAGTCGAGCACAGGCCCCACCACGCTCCAGCTCGACACGGCGGACGTCGCGGGCATGTCGGTGGGCGACTTCACCGCCACGGCGCTCGCCTCCGCCGGCGTCGACGACGCCACCTTCGAGCTCACCCAGACGGACGACGTCCTCGTCACCGCCGGGGTTGGGGAGGTGGCGTCGGCCGAGGCGCTGCTCGCGGACGTGCAGGCGCTGCTCGGCGACGCGGAGGGAGTGGTCAGCGTCGCGGGCCTCGAGGAGCTGTTTGTCGACCCGGACGAGGGCGGCGCTGGCGGCCAGGCCGCGCCGTACGAGCAGTCCCCGCAGTGCCCGCTCACCTTCGCGCCCGCCAACGCGTCCCTCGACCACGACGACCACCAGCCGGCCAGCCGCCGCCGGCTGCGGCACCAGCACTTTTGCCGGTCGGGCGCGTGGCAGGTCAGCTCGCCGTATGGCTCAGAGACGGTGGCGGACCCGTGCCGCAACGCCTTCCTCGTCCGCGTCGTGCGCACCCTCTGCCACGCCCGCCTGGCCAACGGGAAGTGGGACGAGAGGTGCCGCTCGCGCAAGCTCGGCCCCGGCCGCCGCCTGAGCGAGGTGGACACCTCGGGCGGCCTGCAGCCCATCGATGTCGCCGCGCTGCCGGGCGTGGCGGCGGAGGTGATGTGCTCGCGCCTCGAGGTGCATCTGACGACGGTGGCGGAGGAGGAGGGTGGCGGCGGGGGGAAGGAGGGTGAGGGCGGCGGAGATGGCGCGCTGGTCGACCCCCTCGCCGGGACGGGCGAGCGGCTCGCGGGCGCCTTGCTGCAGGCCAACCTCACGATCCGCATCGAGTCGAGCACAGGCCCCACCACGCTCCAGCTCGACACGGCGGACGTCGCGGGCATGTCGGTGGGCGACTTCACCGCCACGGCGCTCGCCTCCGCCGGCGTCGACGACGCCACCTTCGAGCTCACCCAGACGGACGACGTCCTCGTCACCGCCGGGGTTGGGGAGGTGGCGTCGGCCGAGGCGCTGCTCGCGGACGTGCAGGCGCTGCTCGGCGACGCGGAGGGAGTGGTCAGCGTCGCGGGCCTCGAGGAGCTGTTTGTCGACCCGGACGAGGGCGGCGCTGGCGGCCAGGCCGCGCCGTACGAGCAGTCCCCGCAGTGCCCGCTCACCTTCGCGCCCGCCAACGCGTCCCTCGACCACGACGACCACCAGCCGGCCAGCCGCCGCCGGCTGCGGCACCAGCACTTTTGCCGGTCGGGCGCGTGGCAGGTCAGCTCGCCGTATGGCTCAGAGACGGTGGCGGACCCGTGCCGCAACGCCTTCCTCGTCCGCGTCGTGCGCACCCTCTGCCACGCCCGCCTGGCCAACGGGAAGTGGGACGAGAGGTGCCGCTCGCGCAAGCTCGGCCCCGGCCGCCGCCTGAGCGAGGTGGACACCTCGGGCGGCCTGCAGCCCATCGATGTCGCCGCGCTGCCGGGCGTGGCGGCGGAGGTGATGTGCTCGCGCCTCGAGGTGCATCTGACGACGGTGGCGGAGGAGGAGGGTGGCGGCGGGGGGAAGGAAGGTGAGGGCGGCGGAGATGGCGCGCTGGTCGACCCCCTCGCCGGGACGGGCGAGCGGCTCGCGGGCGCCTTGCTGCAGGCCAACCTCACGATCCGCATCGAGTCGAGCACAGGCCCCACCACGCTCCAGCTCGACACGGCGGACGTCGCGGGCATGTCGGTGGGCGACTTCACCGCCACGGCGCTCGCCTCCGCCGGCGTCGACGACGCCACCTTCGAGCTCACCCAGACGGACGACGTCCTCGTCACCGCCGGGGTTGGGGAGGTGGCGTCGGCCGAGGCGCTGCTCGCGGACGTGCAGGCGCTGCTCGGCGACGCGGAGGGAGTGGTCAGCGTCGCGGGCCTCGAGGAGCTGTTTGTCGACCCGGACGAGGGCGGCGCTGGCGGCCAGGCCGCGCCGTACGAGCAGTCCCCGCAGTGCCCGCTCACCTTCGCGCCCGCCAACGCGTCCCTCGACCACGACGACCACCGGCCGGCCAGCCGCCGCCGGCTGCGGCACCAGCACTTTTGCCGGTCGGGCGCGTGGCAGGTCAGCTCGCCGTATGGCTCAGAGACGGTGGCGGACCCGTGCCGCAACGCCTTCCTCGTCCGCGTCGTGCGCACCCTCTGCCACGCCCGCCTGGCCAACGGGAAGTGGGACGAGAGGTGCCGCTCGCGCAAGCTCGGCCCCGGCCGCCGCCTGAGCGAGGTGGACACCTCGGGCGGCCTGCAGCCCATCGATGTCGCCGCGCTGCCGGGCGTGGCGGCGGAGGTGATGTGCTCGCGCCTCGAGGTGCGGCTGACGACGGTGGAGGAGGAGGAGGGTGGCGGCGGGGGGAAGGAGGGTGAGGACGGCGGCGATGGCGGCTCAGGCGCGGGCCAGCGGCTCGCCACCGCGCTCGAAGTGGACACAACCACGACAAGCGTTGTGGCCGAGCGCTCTGCGCCTTCAGTGGGCGACTTCACCGCCACGGCGCTCGCCTCCGCCGGCGTCGACGACGCCACCTTCGAGCTCACCCAGACGGACGACGTCCTCGTCACCGCCGGGGTTGGGGAGGTGGCGTCGGCCGAGGCGCTGCTCGCGGACGTGCAGGCGCTGCTCGGCGACGCGGAGGGAGTGGTCAGCGTCGCGGGCCTCGAGGAGCTGTTTGTCGACCCGGACGAGGGCGGCGCTGGCGGCCAGGCCGCGCCGTACGAGCAGTCCCCGCAGTGCCCGCTCACCTTTGCCCTGGAGGAGAGATCTCCGCCTCCTGCCGCGCCGCCATCGCCGGGGCAACCAAAGGAGCCGTCAATATCAGTTGCACCGCCGCTCTCTCCCTGGCCGCTGCTACCACCCGCACCAACGCCACCGCTGCCGGCAGCACTTGTTCACTCGACTCCACCTCTATCACCGCCACTATTGCCTCTGCTGTCTCCGTTGACGCGCCATGCGTCGCCGCCGCCGTCGCAAGATGTAAGCAAGTGTGAGGGTTGTGGGGGTTTCTGGGGACCGAGCGAATGCTGGCGAGCCTGCGGATACAAGCCTGGGTACTGCACCAGCTGTGACGGCGTGCTCGGCACACCAGGCGCGTGCTGCAAGCAATGGGACAGCAGCGATCCGGAGGAATGCAAACAGGAGGGAACCGTCTTCCTTCACATCGGTTTCCACGAATGCGTGCTGGTCCCCGAGCGAGCGGTCTCATCGTCAAGTCCGAGCGCTGCCCCGTCCGCCGCCCCGTCGTCGACACTCAACTCGGAGCTATCCTCCGCTCCGTCCTCCGCACCGACCTCCGCAATAGTGCCATCATCATTCCCTCTGGTCGAACTGAATATAGCTTAGCTAATGCTGATTTCTGCCGCGGTGTAGGTCTTGGACAGCCGCCTTGCTGATCCGCAGCCCGCTTGCAGCCTCTTCCTCACTGGCAAATTCGCGGGACGGAAAGCGGTCCTGGGAGGTTGCAGCAACGTCATGCTGCAGGCGGGAGAAAAGTGCTCGGATTTTGCGATGCGCGCTCGGAGTTGTGGCGACAGCAAGTGCGCCTCTTGAGTTGCTGGATGCACTGTTTTGAGTCCCAGGTGAAAGTCAGACGTGCTCTCACGCTCCTTCCCTCCTTGTGCTCGGCAGGTACGTACTATGCACAAGATCGGACCCGTGTCCACGCCGTCTCGTGCTCGCGCGCCTCGACCAGCCACTGCGGGTGCTCCTCGGCCTTCTTCATGCTGAAGCGCGCCGTGCCGAGCAGAACGCTACGTTCCGTGCGCACGACCTCGCCCGTCGGGTTGGCCTTGCGCAGGAATGCCTCGACCGCGCCGAGCTGCTCCTCCGTCACCAGATCGCGCTTGTTGAGCAGTAGCAGATCGGCGAACTCGAGCTGGTCGCAGAGCAGGTGTGACACGGTGCGCTCGTCGCCTTTGGCCGCCTCCCAGCCGCGGTCCACGAGCGTTTCCATCGTGCTGAGCTGCTCGAAGACAGACGCAGCGTCGACAACCGTGACCAAGTTGGCGAGAGAGGCAACGTCGTCCAACGCAGTGGCACGATCGCGGAAGGTGAAGGTCTCGGCGACAGGGAGCGGCTCGGAGATGCCCGACGACTCGACGAGCACGTGGTCAAAGCGCTGCTGGGCATAACTCGTTACAGAGCAGCCATAGCCCGATGGCTGCAATACACACAGAGCAGCCATCCTTGCTGGAAGCTCGGCCCGTTGGGGGCTGGCTGCCATCAGTGAGTGAGTGAGTGACACACACACACACACACACACACACACACACACACACACACACTCACTGGCTGCCATCACAAGCCGGGTTGGAATTTTTTGTTTGGGGGGGACGCCGCGAGCACGTCCTCCGACCTCCATCACCTGGTACCATGGCCGCCGCCCCCAGCATCGAGTTCGCATTCGCGACGGTGTCGCAGATGGGCCACCTCAAGCCCCTGATCCCTTACATGTCGGAGTTGACGCGCCGGGGCCATCGGGTCACCATCTTCTGCGACGGCGGCGACAAGTACGTGCGCGAGCTGGAGGGCGCCGGACTTGGGCCGTCGTCGCCAAACACGACGATCGTCGGCGTGCATTTCTCGGAGGTCCGCGGGCCGAGCGCGCTCCGGAAGGAGGTCGGTCTTCTCGGCATTCTGAGCAAGGGAGGACCGCTCGCGATGGCCAGCGCGCCGCTCTACGAGGCAGTCCTGGGGCACTACGGCGGCGGCAGCAGCACTAGCAGCTCGTCTTCCTCGTCCTCTTCTTCTTCTTCTTCATCTTCTTCCAGCCCTGCCGCCGAGGGGAAGGCCCGCCCCCTCCCGGCGGTCTTCGTGTGCGACTTCTTTTCGACCGCGGCGGTCGACGCCGCGGACAAGCTCGGGGTGCCGGTCGTGGTCGTGTTCCCGAACCCCTTGAGCATGACGGCGATGCCGCCGCAGCGAGACCGCACGGGCCTGTACCTCCGGGCCCGGAGCCTCATGGTCTCGGGCGGCGAGGCCGTCTTTGCCCGGCTCTTGCTGCTGGCCCGCAACAAGGAGCGGTCGAGCCGCGGGCTCCCGGCCTTGCTGGAGCAGGACATCTTCCCGTGCGCGACGCAGGACCGCCTCATGGTCGCGACGACGGGCCTGGGCTTCGAGTTCCCGTGCTCCCGCTCGCCCCTCTTGCACTTCGTTGGGCCTTCGCCGCCGGCCGCGTTCCCGCCGCTCGGACCCGACCTGGCAAGCTGGCTCGACGCCCGCCGCGCCGCGGGCACGAGGGTAGTCTACGTGGCCTTCGGCACCATGCACACCTTCAAGGCGGAGGGCGTCGCCAAGCTCTGCAGCGAACTCACGCGGGTCCAGCAGGAGCCGGGGCAGGACTCCATCGCCTTCCTGTGGAGCCTGCCGGCGGACCAGCAGGGCTTCCTGCCGCCGGAGGTGGCCGCCGCCGCCGCCGCCGCTGAAGACAGCGCGACGGCGACCGAAGCCAGGTGGCGCATCGAGTCGTTCGTGCCGCAGTGGGCGGTCCTAGCGCACGAGGCGGTCCAGGTTTATGTGACCCACAACGGCGCCAACTCGACCTACGAGGCCCTGCTGAACGAGGTCCCGATGGTCTGCGTCCCGACGGGCAAGGACCAGCCGGCCAACGCCGCGCGGGTCAAGGCCTCCGGGACCGGCGTCGTCGTGCCGGGAGGGCCTGCCGGGCCCGTGGCCGCCGCCCTCCGCGAGGTGCTTGCCGACCTGCCGGCCTTCGTCAAGCGCATCGGGACGGTGCGCCGGGCCCTGGCCACCCAGGGCGGCGCTACGAGGGCCGTCGACGTCATCGAGCACGTCGCGGCGTGCGGCGGGTACGAGCACCTCAAGCCGGGCCTCGTGAGGCCGTCCTGGTCCTTGGCCCTGCTCGGGACGGCCGCCCTCGGCGTGGCGGCCGCCGCGGTAGCCGCGGTAGCAGTCGCAGGAGGCGTCGCGGCCCGGCGCCGGCAGGGGTAGACCGAGATATACAGAGCAGATAGGCACAAGTAGACAGGAAAGAAGATAAAGATGGAGAGACAGCGAACGCGCCACAGCGAACAGCGGGCATTACTGTATGGATAACACTGTTCTGAAACGCTCTTTCTTTTTTAGCCTGCACAGCGGGGCACCGCCACCACCCCATCTCTTTTCCCCGCGCTGGCGCACTTATTCTTCTTCGTCGTCGTCGTCGTCGTCGTCGTCGTCGTCGTCGCCCTCGTCGGCGCCCCGCTCTATCAGCAGATCCATGACGGCCTGGTGCTCCTCAGTGTCCGTCATCGTTGCGAGCTTGAGGGGCGTCCGCCCGTCCTTGTCCCTCGCGTCGATGTCTGCGCCCAGACTGGCCAGTGCGTCGACCGCCTCCGCGTGGCCGTTCGCCGCAGCTAGGTGCATCGGCGTCTTCTTGGCCTCGTCTTCCGCGCTGTGCTGCTCGGCACACCCGTCGAGCTTTGCCAGCGCGCTTATCACCTCGGTATGTCCGCTGGCCGCCGCGTGGTGCGCGAGCGTCATCTTCTTCGCATCGACGGCTTGCATGTTGGCACCGAGCTCCGCCAGCGCCTGCATCGTGTCGACGTTGCCCGCCCGGGCCGCGAAGGCCGCCGGCGTGAGGCCGTCGCAATCCTCGTCCTCGAGCGCCACGTCGCCCACCTCCACCAGAGCCTTGACGCAGGCGACGCCGCCCTCTTCGGCCGCATTGTGCAGCGGCGTGCACTCCGACGATGAGATGGCCTCGCAGTTGGCGCCCTTCGAAGCGAGCAGCTTGATCACTTTTGGATGGCCGTTGTTACTTACCACCGCGTACAGAGCAGCCATAGCCCGATGGCTGCAAACACACAGAGCAGCCATCCTTGCTGGAAGCTCGGCCCGTTGGGGGCTGGCCACCGCCGATGTTGATCAGTCTACCGTACTCGACTCCTGTACCCCTCAAGGGGGGGCGGAGATGGCATGCAGCCGAGGCTTGTTTTATATTACCCAAAAGCTAGGCCCACAACGCCCTCTATGTTGGGTCAAGGCGGGCGCCTAGAAGAAGGCCCCGCCCCCCGAGGAGGAATCCCACCCGTACCCCGAGCCCCCGTCGAAGAGCGCGTCGCAGCCGAGGCTTCGCCCGCTGCCGAGCAGCCTCGCTGGCAGCCGAGGCTTCGCCCGCTGCCGAGCAGCCTCGCTGGGCAGCGTTTTCGCAAGGCTCCCTGCTAGCCCACTGGCTTTTGCTGTCGCGCGTCGACGTTTGAGCTCGTCGTCAGCGTCGTCGTGCGCCGAGCCTCTCGCGCTCATCGAGTTTTGAGTCAACAACTATGAAAGCCAATCGATTCAGCGTGCTCTGAAACGCCCAAAACCGTCGAGTTTTTCGCTGTGGTCCAAACAGAGAGCTTAAGATCTTGATTTTCTTGGCCACGGCTTCAGTCTGCGGCCAGGGCGCGCTGCACCGGGCCAACCTGCGGCCGTCGCCACGTGCGGCGGGGTTTACCGCGGGGCAGCGCGCCGACGACGTCGAATGCGCCGCCGTGGCATAGCGGCGCCGACGACCAGGCTCAGAGGATGACCCCGGGTAAGCGTTCCCGTGCCTCGACAACTGCCGCTGGTAGGCGCGCCGCGCCGAACCATGGCGGGCGCGCCGCGGCCGCGCGCAACCTTCGTCACAATGCCAACCGCGCGCGGCCGTCGACCGGCAAGCACACGCCTCGACTCGGACACACTGTTCCGAGGGCAAGGGAGAGGGGCTGGCCCCTAGCCCGAGAGGGGAGCTTCCGAGACCCACTACATGACCACGCACACATCATCCCGCGGCCTGGCGGTCGGCGGGATTGCAACCAGTCTTCGCGTGCCGCCTGTCGTTCACTCGGGCGCCTTGGGCGTCGGGGTGGCGAGCAGGGGACGCAGCTCTGAGCGCCCAGCGACGCGTGCCGGATGGAGTCCGGCCGCGGGTGATTAGGGAAGTTCGCTCAGGATGTGTGGCAGCCGCCCCGTTGGCTGAGTGTCTTGTCTTGTGGTTCTGTGTGTCGCTCCTGTCTGTGTGACCGTCATCGCCCGTCTATAGCGTCCACCCATACCGCGTTGGAGTCCCAGTCGTTGGTCGGACTGTGTTTCACCTTCCCATCAATCACTCAATCACGGCCACGATTACCCGTCACTCGCTCACACCTCTTACGCATGCGCCCTCCCCTCCTGGGCGCATGCGCCTCACATCTCGCCAGAGCATAAGCTCTCGGTGTGCCACGAGACGAGTTTTTCCGCGAGCAGCAAGCCGCCCGCCGCAAACAGCCGGAGGCATCGCCACGGCACACACACACACACTAGTGTCGTAAGCTTGTTTTGCGGTTTGGGGGAGGGTTGCCCGGCCGGGGTGGGGCGCGCGCGCGGGGGCGGCGGGTGTGCGCGGGTGTGAGGGATGTCTGGGTGGGCCCGAGAGCGATATGCCCTGTCCGCCTTGCGTTGTTTCATAACATCGAAGGCTAAGCTTAAAAAATTTCCCGCGCTGGCTCTCCGCCTCCCGGCCCGCTTTGGGTTCAGCACCGTCGCTCTCGGCAATAATGTACGCGCCGGCGCCGGGAAAGCCGATGTGCCGCTTCGGCGCCAGCTGCAAGCGCAAGAACCCGGCCCACTTCACCGAGGAAAACCACCCCGACGATCACCCGTTCTTCGCGGCTAACGCTGTCGGCGGAGGCGACAGCGCCGTCTGCGTCGGCGTCGGGAAGGAGGCGGTCTACGCGCCGGCGCCGGGGAAGCCGATGTGCCGCTTCGGCGCCAACTGCAAGCGCAAGAACCCGGCCCACTTTGTGGAGGAGAATCACCCCGACGATCACCCGTTCTTTGCCGCGCCGTCGGGCGGGCAGAAGCGCCCGGCCGCGGCGGCCGCCTCGCCGCCGTCGCTTCCGAAGCGCGCCACCGCGACCGAGGAGTCGCCTAGCGCCGCCGCCGGCTCCGCTCCCTCGCCGAGCGCGAGGGGCGACGCAGGCGCGCCGGACCACGGCGGCGGCGGCGGCGGCGGCGGCGGCGGCGGCGGAGGAGGAGGAGGAGGTGGTGGTGGTGCCAGCGGAAGGGGTGGAGGAGGCAGCGGGTGCGTCGCGGTGGAGCTGCCTGCCACGTACTCGCGCGACGCCTGGCGGCCGGTGCTGCGCGAGGTTTTCCTCTCTCCGAGGCGGACCTCTTCCTGGACCATTCCTGGACCTTTCCCGGACCTCTCCTGGAACCTTCCTGTAGGTCTTCTTCTCGCCCGTCGCCGACGACGCGTTTGTCCTCTTCGAGGCGAGAGCCGCGCCATGCCTGCCGGAGAGAGTACAGTTGCCACATGGGTGCCTGACACATGGGTGCCTGAGAGACGATGTGCCTCATGCACGCCGGAGAGAGT